AACACAGAAAATGTTGTGTCTGTTAAAAATATCAAAGCTTTACCATGGATGCTGAATTTAGAGGCAAATTTCCTCAGCGTTTGCCTTTGCCCTTTGCTAGATTCCGGAGGATAGGAACCTTCAGACACAAGGTTGAAGATCTCTTCCCACTTGCTCTCCATGTTTGCTATAAATGCCCCCCCCCCCCCCCAGAAATATATATCAAATAAGCATTTTAACAAGAATGTCTTGAGGATTTTATACAAATTAACTTAGAAATGCTATTTCTAACAATTTCGTATTTTAAGCATGTGCAGTCCCTGGAAAATTACAGGATATAAGCAAATAAAATACGTGGCAAAATTGTACAGCAATTTGATCATGGATTGAACTGTTCCTTTAATCCCAACATTGAACAAGATTATAATTACTTTTTTTAGGTGGCAACTACAACCTTGCTAGTAGTAAGCATCATGCTTACGTTTGATTCACTTCAATTAATCTGTATCCAAGATGACGTAATGTGCAACCATGTTCGCGCATGCGTAAGACTATGGGTATGCTGGTCTGATGGGGTATGCTGACCTGAAAGAATACTGACTTGATTCTGTACTTTGCTGGTTTGTTAGGCATGAATTGTCTGACAGCGTCCTGAGAGACAAGGAAGGGGGATGGAGACAGAAAGGAAGCTATTGTGATCTTTTTTTCACACCTCTGTGTGAACTGGTCTTTGGTTTGTAGTGTCACATACTTTGCCAGGTGACCTGCATGAGAAAGGTTTCCTAACGCCTTATAAATAATATAAATACATTTCAGTAAATATGAGGTAACTACTTTTTGGAATATGGCCTATCACAGTGGGTTCTGAAATATAACTGCTGTGATGGACAAAAGATCACTGAAAACATCTGAAGAACCATTTAATTTTTCCCTTTTCTTAGTTTGATTCCATTAAGGAATTATGTTAAAACAATAAACAAATTATATAAGATTTAAAAAGGCCGGGACTTACTTTCACTGCATTCATTTTTTTAACTTTATTTATTTACAGTATTACATGTCCACACACAGCCTTTTGTTTTGTGTGAGTCTGAACCTGTTTTACCCCTTGTGTCATAATCCCAAGGTACATGCATGTATTTTTGTCATTTTTCTGGAGACTACCACGTTTAGATTAGTGGTAATGCAGATCACCGGCAGAGGCCTTTAAGGAGCTGGCTGTGGTTCAGTACTTGCCTGAGTGTCAACCTAAGCAGTACCTCATGCTGCACATATTTTTTGCCCCCCTCCCTGGAAGCCAACTACCAGCTCACCAATTCATTGCTAAACTGGAACTCAATCTGCCTGTCTGCCCTCCTACAGTACCAGCTTCTGTTTAGTTTTTTATTAAAAGAAAAATTATACAATGGATTAATTTTTCAAACTGAGACTCACTGACTTTGGCTCATTTTCTGTGAAGAACATATATCAGAATACATATTTAATGACCACACACCATACACCCCCCTACACATTGCTATTACATATAAGATGTCCGTGTCCACTGGACCCGGGGCAAATAGAAGTGTGGAAATTGATGTTCTGTGTACCACACACACACGTACATGCACTCACACACACACAGCAGGCCTGGACAGGAAGAGGAGAGAGTGTAGGTACACAAAACATCAGAGGGTCAATTGTGAGAGAAAATGAGAGCAGACAGTGTTGACAAACAATGGCTCAACCTTTTGTGGGACCGCAGGTGCATAAACACAAAAGAAACAGTTCTTACAAATTGTTTGTAAACACCAGGCATGGACTGGTAATCGGGGGTACGACGTGCTGTTTGGGTCAGTAGACCCGACATGTATATTAATAAAATGTATTATTATTATTATCATTATTATTATTATTATTATTATTATTATTATTATTATTATTATATATCGACTGGCAGACTGTCCAGGGTGTACCCTGCCTCTCGCCCGTTGACCACTGGGATAGGCTCCAGTTCCCCCCGCGACCCCATCAGGGAATAAGCGGTATTGATAATGGATGGATTATTATATATCGGCCTCGTTATAATTGCATAATGCATGAAGATAAATAAAATCAGCAGCACAAGAGTCTGTTCTGATCATCCGGCCCTTACCACAGGCTACTGCAGCCCACTAGTTATCATCCCTGACAGTAACCTCTGCAGCTAACTGCCGGTCATGCTTTTCCAGTCTGTGGTGGTCAGTGGGGAGGCAGCACCGTCCAGACTGGACTAGCTGGCCAGTCGGACCGGCTCGGTGGTCGGCCTGAAGCTGGACCCTCTGGACACACAGAACAAGCTGCTGGACATGGTGGAGGACACCAGCCGTCCTCTGCACAGCGTCACCAGCAACCAGAGGAGCCTGTTCAGGGAGAGGCTGCTGCTTCCCACATGGCAGATAACAGACTGAAGAGCTCCCTTGTCCTTCACGCCATCAGGATGTTCAAGATCTTGACCTCTATACCTGCTTGTCTCTCTTTTTTTCCTCTATTGTAAAAACTATAATGCTAAACTGTGTGATTGCTAATTATTTATCTTGTGCAAGAACTCAGTCTGTTATCACAGTGCAGTAACAATCTGATCTAATTTGATGTCGCTGCTCACTTTCACTTCTATATTTTGTTAGGAGTTTTATCCATCCATCCATTTTCTGCACTGATTATTCCCAAATGGGGGACTAGAGCCTATGGAGTTGAATTCTTTTTTGCTGTTTTTCCATATTCTGATGTGTTAAGGTTGGTTTTAGAGAGTATATCATATTTAGTACCAAATTCTGTCACTTAGTTTTTCTCTTTTTTGCCCTCTGTGTGCTGCTTCTGTCCTGTTAAGCTGCTGGAAGCTGCAGGAGTGTTTCAGGGAGAGATGCAGACAATGGAATGCTGATGCCACATTAGTCATCGTCACTTCCAATAACAGACTGATTGGCTTTTTCCCTTTTTTCCACCCGCTCGTATCAATGAAAGCCTAAAATATGAGTTTATACCGTTCATCATCGGCTTTCACATGAGTTAAAGGGCTTCTTTCAGCCTGGTCCACTGTGAGCTGACGGCGGCCTTCTCAGGACCTGGTGGGTCCAGCAGAGGCTGACCATTCTGTGTGTGGCTGTGCTGCCACCTGCTGGAGCTCTGCTGCAGCTGCAGGCCCAGTGCAGCAGGACCCCCCCCCCAAAGCATCAGCACCCCACAGGGAGCAGCAGCCACAAACAGGATCATTTCCCATGTAAAGCAGCTTACTCTGCATTTGGAGTCTGAATGACATTTTTTGAATGTCCACTGTCCAAACTCTTGCCTTGTCACCTGGATAATGTTTTTTTTTCCGTCCTTTATTTACTTAGGGTTTGCTGTCTTTTTTCGGATTAAAAAAAGAAAAAGTCTCAACAAATATACTTTGACAAAAAAAAAAGTAAAAGCAGGATAGCATAAAGACATCAGGAAACACTGTATGGAAACTTGATCAAAAGCGGAGGGCAAAAGTTTTGTAACATTTTCAACTAATTAAATTTTACTTTTTTCATATTCAGATATTTCTATTGGGTTTTGATTTGTACAAAGAAGTCCCCAAACAGCAACCCCAACATTAACAATGATAAAATGACAATAACACAGGGAAATAAATAAAGTAAAAAGAAAAAGAGATAAAATATTAAAATAATAGATTTGAGAAAAGTAATGGTAAAAAAGAGGGGAAAGGTTTAATGTGTAAAGAATTATACAAGCAGTAGAGTCGACATTAGAAAGAACAGGAAAAAGGGAGGCATTTATATAAACTAATGAACAGAGCGAGTTGTCATAAGCAGGATGAAAACAGGACACAGTAAACTGATTAATACACTTAATATAACATCAGTCTGTGTGACTGTAGCTTAAAGAGTGTGGTATAATGTGTAAATCTAAGGAAGGCAGAAGAATCCTTATGAGATTCCTGATCTCGGCTGGATTGAGTGAAAGATGATAACTGAAGGATATTACAAGGAAGTAAAGTCCAGCAGATGGCAGCAAATGTGCAGCTTTAAGGATGCCCACAGCCTCTAGAATACAAAGAGGAAAGGCTGTGAAAAGGTTGTATTATTAGACCCTAAATATTTTAAGTAAATATTGTATTACGAATAATGATGCTTTAATTTACAGAAATGTGCTTTTATTAGTTAGTTTTAATGACATTATTTTATTGAAAAAAGTTGTATAATAGTTTAAATTATATCTTTCAAAAAATGTTTTTAAAAAAACTGTTGAAAAACTATTTGGCTTACAATTACAAGAGTTACCCGTTAATTTCAGATAACATCAAATGTATATTTAAATATTTTATGTTTTATTTTAACGTTTGAATACAAACATTTTACGTTTTAAAATGACCCATTTAGATGGTAAATTAACATTTAATATGAATAATTTTGCTTAAATTTACAGAAATCTGCTGTTTGTTGGTTTTCTTAACATTATTTTATGCAAAAAGGATGTATATCATTTCATATTAGATGCAATATAAAAGTAAACAGTGAGGAAAAAAGCCTCTCAGAGGAGTAAAAGGGCCACAGGATGTTTTCTGGGGGCTGTGAGAGCTTTCTGCTGAAGCCACAGGGCTGAATTAGTCATCGCTTTGGTTTAGCTGAGCTGAGTGACATCTCAGTTTATCTACAGATCAGAGGAAGCTCTAAGGGCTTTCTGCTAACCAAAGCCATGCAGCTAACACCCTCTGATGTCCTTTCATGGTAAACCGATGCAGCAGCTTCTGCTTTTACTCATTCTGAGCCCCAGCTGCTGCACCCCATAAAAAGTGAGGCTGGAAACTCCCAGCTGCACCTGAAGGAGCCCCTCTGAGACGCCTGCTTCCTGATGCAGGAGCCCTGCTGCCAGTCAGGGGGACATTTAGCCCCACACAGCAAATGTGCTGAGCAGTGGGACCAGAAAGGGATCCAGAAAGAGTCTGCAGCCCCCTGCAGGCTGCTGGAGGGGAGGAGCGCTGTCGGCCCTCTTTGGAGGAGGAGCTCCTTCCCTTAGAGGAGTGAAGAGGGAAGAGAGGCAGCAGCCAAACAGCAGAGCCCCAACATGAGCGTCCATCACACTCTGCTCTGCCTCTTCTTCCTCTGTGAGTACATTCGTTTCCCTCCTGCCTCTCAGTGTCAGCGTCTGTTGGTCCACAGGCTCAAACAGGACCACCAGAGCCCCTCGCAGTGCTTTCAGGGGCTCAGCTCTAAAAGTGGTCTTCCTCTGAGCAGGGCTGTGGAATCAGCTGCTCCTCAGACTGCTTCATTAGTGCTCTCAGTAATCTCTCTGAGGCTCCTGAGCAGAACCAAGCCTCAGCCTGCGTTTGGACCTTTGATTATGCTGTCAGAAGAAAGTCAGGAACAGATATTTGCCACTTCCTGAAAACCAGCGGCCGTTTCAGAACGACTGGTCAGTTTCTGTGAGGAACTTACAGCTGGAAGCCGCTGAGCTTTTCCTCTTTGTGACCTCAGCCCAAAACCTTCTTATTTCTACTGCAGTTTTGTTTTTTGTCTGCAGAAAGAACAGCATGTATGTCTGCATGTATTGTCCGTATCTATGTCTTTTCAGAGCTCACCACAAAAACCACAAAGCAATGACCCCTTTTCAGAAAGCGCTCAGCATTTCTTTCTTCTGTGTTTTTCCCTTGTCCTGTTCAGCATCATGGCAAGTAGAATGAATTTCTGACTGCCATAGTTGTGCCAGACAGATTTACTTTTTCAGCAAGGGCCTGGGCCTGGAGGGGCCGGTAGGCTGCCACCCCTGGCAGAAGGGGGGGCCCTATATTTGTTAAGCCTTTCTTGCTGCCCAACCCTTGAGATTGGGTAGAAAGCATTTCTGTCTCACAGTCAGCCAGACTGGGTCTCTGCAGCACCAGCTGCTCAGGACACAGAATGGTTGAACTGGTCGAACCCATTCATGTGATCAGAATGCATTCTTCTTCCTGGAGTCTCTTTGTGCATTTTCAGGCTTTTCTGGATCTTTGTAGGTTTTTGTTGTTTTTGGGATCCAGTTGTTCCTCCACTGTGGTTTTCTCTTCTAGTAATCCAGCCCATTGGAGCCTTTTGTTGTGTGTGAATCCGTGCTGAGGATTTTGGGCTGTTTGACTACCTGTGGGTTTCTTCTTCTTCCTGTGAGTAGTTTCTTGCTCAGAGTTTCCTGTTTGACTGTGTTTGGTTCCTCATTTTGTGCCTCCTTTTCTGGTCATTTCCCTCCTTCTTCCTCTTGTGTTTCATCCTTCTGTGGTGTGAGCACAACAGCAGCTTTCTCTTTGGGTCACAGCAGAGATGTGACTCTGTCTGAGGTCCCAACCCTGTAAGCTGCAGCTTTTCTTGTTGCTCCCGTGTGTCATGACGGGGAGCAGCCTGCGTTTTCAGGCTTTTTCTGAGTCTTTGTGGGGTTTTGTGGTTGTTAGGATCCAGATTTTCCTCCACTGTTTTATCTGTTAGTAATACAGCCAATTGGAGCCTTTTGTTGTGTGTTAAATGAGACTTGAGATGTTGTGAAGTTCCCTGCAGGCAAACTGCAAGATGGTCATGAAAAGTGTGTGTTTGGGGCGGCAGACTGTTGGCCTGAGAGGATCCAGGGTCTTGCATGGCTGCTTCTCCTTCAGGCTGATGTGCAGGCCCTCATCTTCCATTTCTTCCAAAGCACAAAGCCTTCAGGTGTCCTCAGCAGCCGTCTCGGCCTCCTCCTGGTCTGAGAGCGGCTGCAGGTCCCAGCCTGGACCACAGAGAGCTGCCAGCCTCTGCGTGTGGATATGAAAGATAACTGCTGACGCTTTGTCTTTTCTGCAGCTCTGCAGGCAGCAAACAGCTCTTCTGCTCATGGACTGGAGCTTTTCTATGGACACGTTGGAGGAGACGTCACCATGGAGTGCAGCTTCTCTACATCTAGATGGAGTGAGCTGTCATTCTGCAGAGAAAACTGTGATGAAAGAAACATGCTCATCCAGACAAACTACAACACAGCCGATTGGGGACGATACAGGATCCAGTACAGTAAGAAAGTTCTGTCGGTGAGCATCTCAGGTCTGACCCGGTACGACTCAGGACGCTACCGCTGTGCTGTGGGCAGAGTTTCACACACAGATGTGGAGCTGGTTGTAGCTGAAGGTGAGTTTCTGGGTTTCACTGAGAGCTTCTGATGTTTAACTACAGTTTTAGTTCAGTTTTAGTTCAGTTTGACTTCAGTTTTAGTTCAGTTTTAGATCAGATTTATTTCAGTTTTAGTTCAGTTTTTAGTTCAGTTCTAGTTCAGTTTCAGTTCAGTTTGAGTTCATTTCTTCTTCTGCTCCAGAAATAACTGCCACTGTTTTTCTTTAACAGCTCTGCTGGAAAAAAGCCAACAAGAACCCTTCAACATAGAAGTTGGAAGCTCTCTGACAGTTGGATGCGGCTTTCAAGTATCTGGAAGCAAGAAGTTGTTCTGCAGAGGAGACTGTTCGAACGGAGAGATTCTTGTCCAGACAGATGGTGTCAGAGCTGAAAAGGGCAGATACAGGATTGGATATGTGAATGGAAAGTATTTGGGAGGATATCTGTATGTGAGCATCACACAGCTGAACCAGTCTGACTCAGGACGGTACAGATGTTATATGGACAGGATTGGACCTGATGGATCCATTGAATTTAGCATCCAGGTCTCAGCTGGTGAGTTTCTATTGAATGAAAATCCTCTGAATGTGTCTGGAGGATTCTTAGAGGTTCATCATCTGTGAACCACCTGATGTGCACCGTGATGAACTGTCCACCTGAGTCTGAACACAGTGATGGTCTCCATGTCTTCTTTTTCTTTTTCGTCATGTGTCAGCAGCTCCAACAGCTTATAAATCAACATATGTCCCAGCAATTTCCACTCCAACAGCCACTCAGAGCTGGAGCTCCAGCTCAGGGAGCTCCAAACCTCCAGCTTCCTCTCACTCTGCTGAGCCTCCTCAGCAGGAAGGAGCAGCATCTAAAGGTACAGAGTTTTATAGTTGAGGAGCTAAGTGCCATAAAGAACCCTGATGTAATCCTGATGAAAACCTGATGAATTCCCTTGAATCACACCAATCGGTTCTTCTCAAACCTCTGCAGACATGCTGCTGTTGGTGGGTCTGGCTCTGGCCTTTGTGGCGTTCCTGTTCTCAGTGGCTCTGCTGGTGTTCTGCAGGAGGAGATCTGTGCCCCCCCC